GATGGAAACTTTCACCCAGCAGAGGAGGTGGAGCGGTCAGTCAACGCTATGTCCCGCTCAGCTGCCTGGCAGTGAGTCAGCTGTTCCTGCTGGACCACATAATAACCAGAGACTTACAAACAAGCTGCGCGGTTATTTTCGGCAACGAGGACAGGCCAGACGCTGAAGCAAACGGAAACTCGGAGGAGGGTCCGTCTCGCTTTTCATTTCAGCTTCTGACTCGTAAAAACAAGCGGCGATATAAGGAACAGACAGAAAACTTTACGATGTGAAAACCAAGTTGAAGTCAGTGTCTGGTTTGGAGTGGCTCCTTCACATAAACAGTTATTGTAGCAGCATTCAAGACTAACATTGGTTGATCAGAGAAATCAGTCACTATATTATTATATTATATTATATTATATTATATTATATTATATTATATTATATTATATTATATTATATTATATTATGTTCTTTCTGCCTGAAGTTTGCATGTTCTCCCTGAGCATCCATGGGTTCTCTCTGGGTACTCCGGCTTCCTCCCACAGTCCAAAAACATGACTGTTAGGTTAATTGGCTTCTCTAAATTCTCCTTAGGTGTTTGTGTGAATGGATGATTTTCCTGTTTGTCTCTTTGTTACCCTGCGATGGACTGGCGACCTGTCCAGTGTGGACCCTGCCTCTTACCTGTAGGTGGAGATAGGCACCAGCATCCCTCGCGACCCTGATTTAGATAAGCGTGACGGAAAATGGATGGAATAATATAATATAATCTCTGCACAACAAATGTATGATATCAGATTACTAACTACATAACATGACATCATATAATATGATACAATATAAAATAATATACTAATGTGAAATAAGATAATATAAGGAAAGTGTTGGCCTAATGGATTAGAGCAGTACACTTCTGCTCTGAGACAGTGGCCATAACCGGTTTGATCCCCACAGCCTCCAATCTGGGTTCTTGAGCAAACCCCCCGGAATAGGCTTAAGGTAAATTTCTCCAATGTAAGATCAATAAAGTTCAATTAGTTATAATATAAGTAAGAAGGTTGTTCTTCTCCCCCCACCATTTTCCTGAAAAGGGTCTGTAGAGAATGGCTTGTTGAACAGATAAAGTAATGTTAGATTAGTGAGCAACCCTGGGTTTTAGTTCTGTCCCTTTCTCCATGAAGTTTACAGTTTACTATTTCATTCCTTATGTCACAGCCCAAAGCTCGTTAGCATATGTAGATGAATGTGTAGGAGCATAGATCATCTAGTAAATTTAGAGCTTCACGTTTGACTTAGCTCTCTTTCCCACTGTCTGGCTCAGTACCCACTATCAATCCCCAGCTCCTTTTTTCACTCATTTGTGAACAAGAACCCAAGAGACTTTTCAACTTAGGGCAGGACATCTTCTGCACTTTTCAGGCTCAATGCACTGATCCTCATCCAAGTCGCTCCACAATCAGCTGCAAACTGCTCCAGCGAGAGCTGTAGATCACGGCCTGCTGAAGCCAACAGGACTATGTTATCTACAAAATGTAGTGACACAATCCTAAGGTCACCAAAATGGATCCCCATAATACCCTACCTGTTTCTAGAAAATCTGTCCATAAATGTTATGAACAGAATCAGTGACAAAAGTGACAAAGGGCAACCTTGGCAGAGTCCACTCACTGAGTCCGACTTACTGTTGGTGATGCGGAACAAGCTCTGACACTAATCATGCAGGGACATATTAGCTTTTATCAAAGGGCCTGGAACACAATTCTCTTGGAGTACCCGGACAGGATCTCCTGACGGACACAGTCCAACTCCTAAGTCCACAAAGCACCTGGACCGCTTGGAAAAAACTCACATGCACCCTGCAGGACCCCACTGAGGAGGTAGAGTAATTCCATTGTTTCTTGACCAGGACAAAACCCACACTGCCCTTCCTGAATCTGAGGTTTGATGCACACTTCTCTCCAGGATGCCTGAATAAACCCCATTTTAATCAGTTACTTAGACATGCTAAACCTAGAGTTAATTGTTGGATCTATGTTAAAATACGAAAAACAGAGCATACATTTCCTTCATCTAAGATAGTCAATATACCAAAATTTTAACTTGTTAAGAAAGGAATGCGCCTTTATTAAAGTGCCGGGGGTCAGAAGCGACCAATCGGATACTAACTTCAGAGTTGCGCATTAGAAAGTTCCCTGTGGGCTGCAGTCATGAGGTCCTAACTCCACCTAAGTCCCGGGAGTTTTGTTCCTCTTTCACTTCTGCTTCGAGGCAGCTTTAAGTTTTTAGTTTAATATTTTCAACAATGTGACATGCAGAAAAAACCTTCTGAAAAATCTGAACAAATCATTCCTGTCCAACTCACATGAAAAGAAGAAAAGATAAATGATTAAAACAATAATACAAGAAAAAATAAACATGCAAACAAACACATTATAGATGTTATGGCTACAGCTTCTGCTTAAGGAACATGATATTAAAAAGTGCATTGTGGGTAAGGAATAGGGTCTATTAAATACTTAATTTTAGTTAATTCAGTAGGAAGAACACCAAATATTTTTTTATTTTTTTTTATTGCCACAATCAAGATTTCCCATTCAGCAACGTTTTTATTGTTTACGGCATTAGTAAAATCACAAAGCACAAAGAAGCAATTTGAAACTGATGACAATCATATGATAAATCTTCAGCTGCTGCATGCCCTGCTTTCTGTATGAAATATGTGCTTCCCTTTTATCTATTATGACTGCGTCTGAACTGTTACAAACCCATGCAACTATTTGATGACATCCATTCCTTCAGCTATGCAGATTTCCTCGCTCTTTGTTCTCTGTTGTCATGCCAAAAAAACTCAGGCAGTCAGAGTTTAAATAGCTTAGTTATTGCTTTTTATTGTATCTGAGGCAATAAACATTATTTCCTTTTCAACCACCTTTATTGGCCCATCCTTTAGAGGTATATAAGCAGCCTTACAGGCTATATTCTTTTTTCTTAAGTGTAAATAGGAATTACTACCAAGTAGGCTGACAAACCAGGTTTGTTTAAGCAGACATACAACCTCTGCAAAGCTATAGCGGCATCTGGGGGGCACCATAGAAACCATTCTACTGGAACTGTAAGTTGAATCATGTGTTCGTGATTACATAGTACTACTAAAGGAAAAAAAAAAAAAAAAAAAAAAACATGTCCTGGCCCTTTGCTAAGTGTGGTGGAGGATTAGTCATACTGTGGGCCTGCTTCTTTTCCAATGGCCCTTAGAATCTTGTTAGACAGTATGAAGACTTAAACTATTGTAAACAAATAAATCTAGTGGACCCTGTTGAATCTTTATCCTTGCAAAGGCTGTTCATTTCAAAATGTGTGGGCAAAACAACAGAACTGGATCAACCTTCCATGATCGGGTCAGTCTCCAGAGCTTAGTTTTGTAGATGATAAAAGAGGACCAATAATGATTTGGATTGAGAAAAAGGAATGCTCAGATGTACCTCTATTAGTATGTGAAACCTACTATTTTTTTAAATGGTTTTCATTTTATTGTCTGAATATGAATGATACACTAAGAGATGTTTTATATCCCAATAGGCAGATTATGACCCCTACCCTCGACCACCTTCCGCTTTCCTCTGAAGGAGGTGGACTCACATGATGGAGACCTCCGGGTGATTTGATGCCCTGGTTTTCTTTATCTGGGTGATGCTTGTTTCTTTTTGTGACATCTCCCTTTGGAGTAGCTAGTAACAGACTCAGTGACATAAGGTGAGAGGCTCAGTCCTTCATGGAGAGCTAGCAGGAGAGAAATAGAGCAGGGTTGGTTTTGTAACTGGACCAGGACCATTTCTAGGCATCTTCTCTTGGAGGTTTTCAGGGCGTGGCCCAGAAGGAGAACCAGGAATGGACCTGAACTCAATAGAGGGGATCTATGCCTTCCTTTACTCAACCTCAGCCAAACAACTTCTCTGTTTCTGTTTATTCTTTCTCACTATTTAAAATTTTGACTTTGAGCCTTCTAAAGTGCTTTGTGAAAAATTGATCTTATTGAAGGGGAATTCTGAGCTTGGTCTCAAAGTCACTCATAGCTACTTCTAATCTTTGTGAATACAGGACCTGGTTCATATTCTTGACATACATGATTTTATTATATAAACTGAGCCTAACTCTTAGTCTGTATGTAACACATTAAACCAGCTAAACATTTGTTTTAATGCTTTACATTAATGCTGGTGACGTTTAACTCAACTTAAATAACTGGTAGCAATTTTCCTGAGTCATGATTTAAAGGGGAACCTCCACTTTGCCATAAGTTTACCAGTGAGCGCTACATAGAACTGTCTTACTTCCAGATTTAAAAAAAAAAAAGATTAAAATATAACTTTCAACTGGTGTTACTGTTATCATTTTAAATAGACATTCTAAGATAAGGTCAAATGCATGAACCTTGGGAGAAATTGATAACCCAGTAAACATGAGTTGATGTCTTTTAATACTGCTTAAACTCCATCAGTTAAAGTTGTTTTATTTTATGGTCTTTTTTTTCCCCTCAAACTTTCATTCAATCCATTTTCATTTTTTTTTTTTATTTCATGTCATTTCATCTACACAAATAAAAATGTTTAAGAAACACACTTTGCAAAAATAAATAAATACAACTAACTGGTATTTAAATTTGCAGCTACCCCATTTCCAAACCAATAACATCTGAGCAACTCTTGAGCATGGTGGCTGTAGAATTATGCTGAGGGTTTGTTAAATTGGCAGTGGCAGTAGTGGACTAAATAAACCAAACTAAATAGTTTGGACAACCTCAATCTTCCCCACTGCTAAGCCACACAGAAAAAAGAAAAAAAAAACACAAGACAAAAAATTAAGTTGAATCTATTTAATTGATAATAAAATATAATTACATTATCATTTTTTAAACATGTAACCATATTCTCTGACCTCTGCTATTGCTGACATTATTCCATTCATATTAATAAAGCCAAATGTAGGCAGAGGTTCATGGAAGAGAGATATTTTTCCTTATTTGCATTCCTGAGCTAAAATGGTGCGGTTCTTCTTCGCTCTGTGGTGAGAATTATATCTCCTGGCTGCTGCTCTCTGATTCCTCTGAGCATCGGTCAGTCCATATTCAGCTTCATTCTCCTTCACCGCCACCTCCGTGTTAGACTGCAGCTCCGCCTGCTCCTCCTCAGCACTCTGAGCAGGTACATCTCTCAGCCACTCCTGGTAGTAACCACGGAAACCATCTATATGCACCAGGTAGTTGTTTCTGGACTTGTACTGGAATTGAGAGAACAAAAAAAGGGGAAACTATCTAAAACAGGCAATATCTGAACAAAAGATGAAAAGAGGTGATATACTGGAAGCTGTAATTAACCAAATGACTTATTCAAAATTAACTATGCCAGTAATTTATTGTAGACATTTTCATCTGGATGTGCTCTGACCTGGTTGTAGTTGGGAGGATACTGTGCAGCAAACTCCAGCTGCCGTATTATGACCTCATTAGGCCACACACTCAGGTTCCTCATGCTCTTTAGGAGTGTTTTCAGATAGGCGTAATCCAGTCTCCGAGTGGCCCGACCGATCAGTGCAGAGAAAACATGAACATTGGGTCGAAGTCCTGCATCCTGCAGGAAGAGTCAAAGAGGAAGATAAGCGACTTAACCAGCTTTAAAATCCGTCAAGTGATCAAGATGTTTATTTATGCACGTTGTGTGTTTAATTTGACAAAAGAGAAATCTGTTCTTGCAGTTAGGATGTCACCTCTATGTCTTTGAGCAGCTGCAGACCTTCCTCCTGCTGATCACAGCCTAATGCCAGACATCCATACGTCTGTATATTCAGGCTGACATTGCGCTGTCGCATCACACGCAGGACAGCCTGGAAGGAGTTAGGAGAGGAAATATAGATGCAGTCTTCATATGAAATCAAAGGTTTGGTTTAAACCAGTCATAGCATGCCAACAATCCCTCAAAATAGAGGCTGCCGGTATAATAACCCCATGCTGGTAACATTAATCTACTGCTCAATATTTATACCAAAATAAAGGGATAAAAAAATGCTCTGTAATAGACGACACACTTCCAGAAGTTCTTAGAATGGACATTTCCTTGAAGTGCTTTTAAAATAAAGAACAGTTCCTGAAGACGTTGGTTTTACGTGCGCTCAATTAAGACTATCATGCTGCTCTGTACTTTGACTTATTATAAAGTCATTTATTAACATAACAGTGTTCATAGTTTTACTAATTGCTTTACATAAATACATAAATTCGACATAATCTAAACCAAACACAGTATTAAACTGTTGCCTCCTCTCATTAACAACATCTGAACAGAATCATGGTTGACCTTAAATAACCCCCTATCAAACAATCAGAACTCAAAATGAAATATGCCCCCTGGTGGCGATAAACAGAGGAAAGGACGAATGGCTCCTACAGACAGATGAAATGTTCCCTGTAAGTCTTCACCGGGTTTGCTTCATACTGTTGCTGGTATTTTGGCCCATTCCTCCATCCAGACGTCTATAGCAGTAATGTTTTGGAGCTGTTGCTGGGCAACACTTTCTTTGAACTCTCTCTACATATTTCTGTTGGGTTGAGGTCTGGAGACCTCTAGAACCTGACCACATGATGTTCTCCCAGTCCTCTTCATGATCATCCATGTGCTCTCTGACCTGGACTTGTACCAAACAACGGTCTTGTTTGTCTTCTATTTACTACCAATAAATTTCACAGTTGATTTATTCACATCAATCCACTCATCCCCATCTAGTGAAGTTCTGTAACTTTCTTCCTGTTGTCCTTGAACAGCTCTTTGCTTTTGGCAATTGTTGACTGTTTGAGGCTCTAACGACAACATAAATAAGGGTAACGAGTGGAAATCAGAAGAAATTCTTAAGGAAGAAGACACGTGTCTATAAAGGCCACAAATATAGTTTGTTTGTTTACAAATAAATTATTTTTAAAAATCCTACAATGTGTTTTTCCCCTCATTTAGTTTGTCATAGCTGAAGTGAAAATATGATGAAAATTACAGGCCTCTCATCTTTCCTAGTACAGCTTGCACATTCAGTGGCTGACTAAATACTTATTGGCCCCACTGTAACATGCACATGGATACCACCGACCAAAGGAAACAAAATGGCTTTGCTCTTAAAAGGAGCTTGTTCTGATTCAATACACATAATTCAGTTTTGAGCGTCTTTGTGTGTGCCATTACCTTTGCATCCTCAAGAGCACCTGCTTTGATGGATCTTCGGATGGCAGTGTTAAAGAACGCCCCATCGAGCTTCACCTGATGCTGCTTGGCGGCCTTTAGCAGCATCTGCATAGACTGGCGACCCGGCTCCATCATGTCAGCCAAGAGCGTCAGAGTTTTCAGGTCTGGACTTAGCCCCTTAGCCTCCATCTGCTCAAGAAAGCCTTTCGCTCCACCGATTAGGGCCAATCTATCAGATGCCGTATCTACAGAGCTGAGAGCGAGCACGGCTCCTCCTTTGCCTTCAAAAAGGTCCAGCAAATTAGGAGCTGTAGAATCTGGCACCATGTTAGAAGGTAACGAGATGTTTTCTGCCGGTCTGACTGGTATAAGATGGTTGGATCCCTCCTCTTTATTGCATTTGCTCTCAGACTGGCTGCTGCTTTGGGTATCGTGTTGAAGAAACAGCTGCTTCTCTAGAAGGTCTATGTCTATTACATTCTTGCCTCTAGGTTCTGAAACATCTTCCTTTGGCTTCCAGTTAGACTGCAGCAGAACACTTGATGCTAAAGCTGAATCACCAATCCCACAATCCCTGGCTGTTCTTAAAAGCAGGGTATAGTTTTTTGAATCTGGAAGGATCCCCGACCGCAGCATCTGACGCCACACCTGCAGTTAAGAGAAACTGTTCAGCAAATACACAATATAGAAACTTCTGGAGCAGCGAAACATATTAATAGCAGAGGAAATACATTATAAAATTATTACAAAACAAACAAAAAACAATTAAGAATCGCTCACCGCTCTGATCTAAGGAAAAATGGAACTACCTGCAAAGCCAATCTGAATCCCATTTCTTTGTCCTTCAAACAGCCCATCAGCAGGTAATGAAATGTCTCCTGTGTTACAGCATGTCCATTCTGCAGCATCTCCTGAAAACATAGGCAAACTCTTCATTAGATCACTGGGCCTTCTTTTAGTTCCCCATGAGTCAGCGGCTGTCGTACCCGCAGCGTGTGAACACAGGCTTGGAGGTGGTTGGTGATGGCGTGGGTCTTGAGTAGAGCGTGGTACGTGATGGTGCTTAGGGGGTAGTTTTTACGACGGAGCTCTTGCTCCAGCTTCAAGGCTTGTTGCAGTCCGGCCTGCTTGGATGGCGACTCTGCGCAGGCGTTGAACAGTGCAGTGTAGGTTGCATCTGTTGCGATCAGACCTCGCTTCTTCATCTGAAGGAGACAGAAAGAAATTACACTCAGCAAGACAGTAAGTATGAAAGTCTGGTAAAAGTATGCGCTGTAACCTTAAGGAAAAACTTCATTTGAACTATAAATTAAGCATTAATTGAAATTAAGTACTCAATACTGAGGTTTGCCAAGACTAAAAACCAGTGGTATGAAACCAATAAAATGTTCTTCATGTTGTTCCTACGGCTTAAAGTCCGTTAAACGGGATGCAAGACAAAGAGTTGAATGGACTGGAGTTTTCTCTGGGTTTAAGTTAAAACAGTATTATCATCCCATAAAAAGGAAACTTCTAGGATACAATGAATAAAAGAAGCAAGAAAATAAGAAAAAAAAAATGTTGTTAGGGCATAGGGAAAGAGGAAAAAAGTTGGTGACGGAATGGAAGGAGGACAGAATCAAGGATGCAAAAGAAGTTTGGGGCCAGCATCACTCTAATATACTTAAACGAGTTAAATACTAAGCTTTAGTGTTTTCTATTTTCCATTAGCACCCAAATTTTAATGTTCGTTAACAATGTCCGTATCCGCACCAGTCCCTTATGTGGCACAAAACCAAACCATGATGTTGCTACCTCCACACTTTCAGAGTTGCAGCCTCTCCCCTTTCAACACAAAATGTTTTTTTTAATCTGGCTAAGCCTGCTTTCAGCCCATATTGACGCAGGTCTCCTTTCACCGTGGACAGTAACACAGCAAACTGGCTTCGATCAACATCTTCAAAAAGTCCCTTTGTGCTTTCACTGATATGACTGTTTTTAAAGATATTCTAATATTATATATAAAAATCATGCTCCTCTATTAATACTGACCTACAACAGTAAAAGTTTAACTGGATTCAATGTCAGGGAGAGACAGAAATGGTATCATCTTATAAAATGTATGTAAATATTTGTTTTCAAAAGTACATAATGTGCTTTAGGAGACATTAAAACCTCAGTGATATTAAACTCAAGTCCTCGAGGGCCAGTATCCCGCAACTTCTAGATATCTCCGTGGTTCAAAACACTTGCATCGAATTGCTTAATTCCCTTATTAATTGAAGTCAAATTAAACTAGGTGTGTTTAGGCAGAGAGGAATCTATAGGATGACAGCCCTTCAACTGGAATCTAACAGCCCTACTGTAATAAAGGTTTAAATGCTCAAATTTTTTTTTTTTTTTTATGTGGTCGTTCACATTTTTCCTGATTTGAGCAAGTAAGTGAGACAATTTGGAATAAGATAAATTTCCATTTGAAATAAGAAAACTACCGTTATGTTATTTCATATCATCTAATTATCTTACTAAGTGCTAATTACATTAGCAGATAATATAATGTACCTTCTCAAATGAAGGATAAATAGTTTATTTTACTTATTGTTTAGATTTGCAGCATTGCTATCCCAGCTTCTGTCCGTTTCCTGCTGAGCAGAACAATATTGTGACAAATTGGATTGAGATAAACCTCAAGATCACTAATCCGACTGCGGTCACATTCCATAAGATCAGATACGAGTCAGGGGAGTGGCGGCCTGGTGGTTAGGGCATGTAGCTTGGGATACAGAGGGTCTGAGTTGGAGCCGCACTCCCACAGACGGCCACTCTGGTTTGAGCAAGACCCTTAACCTTATGATGATGTGGCAGACTGGAGATGTATGAATGCCTTTTTAATTGTTAATCTGGGCCACTTCCTGAGAGGTGAGCAGCCTCACATTGGTTCCAAAGAGCCTGAACTGGTCATTTCACCCCCTAAAATAAACAACACATTTGGGCCACATTGCCTGCAGTGGGATCAGGGCCTAAATGAAACATAAGTCAATAGCAATAATTTTTATAATAATTCTGGGTCAATCTAAGACATTTTTTCTTACGTCATTGTAGAGTTTGAAGGCCTTTTTGAGCTGTCCGGCTCGACCGCAGCCTCCTATAAGCACAGAGTAGTTGAACTCCTCTGGCTGCAGCCTCTCCTCCTGCAGCATGTCTCTGCTGAACAGATCCAGGGCCTCCTGCAGCTGCAACACCAATAAAAACACCTTAATATAAACCGAAGATGGTGAAGAAAGCCATATCCATATCTCAGTTCCCCAACCTTTTTCTCCTTTATCAGTTTCTTGCACTGTAAGAAGTACCAGTAGGGGGTATTTCTCCTCAAAGGTCTCCTCAGAGGTTCCTCCTCCATGGACTCTCGCTCGTGTCGCAGGTCTCGGAGGTCCGGGCTGCTCTTCCTGAACGACCTCCTGGAGGAAATGTCCTCCGAGAGAGAACCAAAGTTCTCCTGCTCAGGTGAGGCTCCAGCATCAGCTCTGGAGGAGGCAGACAGGGACACGAACCTGGCGGAGTGATCCACAGAGAGCCGACAAGGAAGGACAGTGAACCTTCGGTCTGTTTTTCCTATCAGTGTTTTAAAAGTCGTCCTCTGAGAAGAAAATAGAGAAAAACTAGCCACTGATATTTTACTCCGCTGCCGTAGACAACACCTGACAGCTAACATCTTCAAGCTTGAACAACCTCCGCCATAACAGATCTATTTTTTTATAAACTAGACCTCCAACGTTTGATTAGAAGATGTGAGCCGCCATGCTTGTATGACGTAATGGCCCAGACCTGAATAATAGATACGGATCCACCAATTAAAGAGAACAATTTTTTCCGAGTAAAAGCAAACAAATGAAGAATTTTTGAAAAGAACTGAATAAAAACAACCAAGTGAACGTTTTGCTTGATGCTTAATTAGATAGTGGAAAAGTTTCCAATCACGATTTGTGTCGATAATATCGTCAATGTATTATTACGCCTGCCGCGAAACACAACACACTGACACCTACCGGCCATAAAAACAACTGCGTCTCGTATTTAAAATTTTGATAAGTTTTCAAATATACGTGGAAGTCACAGATTGAAAAGTAAAAGCACTGAAATAAAGCAACAATAATGAAACTGTGTTTATTTGCGTTATATATTCCATCTTAATCGCAGAGGGATTATTTTTTCAAAGTAATTTGAAAAGGAGCAGAAGAAAAAACATCCACCGTTCATTTCTAACCAAGTCTTGTAAAGCATCAGAAAAAAAAATGTTCCAGATCATACTGTGGGATGAAAAAACATGTAAAAGTAATTTAATAATTCTTATTTATTATCCCAAACCGTTCCTAATTTGGCCCTGGTCATTTTGTATCCATTTGATTTCTTTTTTTCCTTTTCTAACTTTAGGGTATTTTGAAATAACCCATTTTCCCTCAGCAGATGGCCGCTCACACTGAGCCTGGTTTTTTTGGAGGTTTCTTTCTGTTAAAACTGAGTTTTTCCTTTCCATTGTCGCTACAAGCATGCTTAGTGTGAAGGATTGCTTTGAGTCAATGAATAGATGCAATCAACTGGTTTTCCCTGGATAGAAAACTTTGAATCAATTTGACTGTATGATCTGGTGAACTGTAAAGTGCCTTGAGATGTGTTGTGAATTGGCGCTATATAAATAAACTGAATTGAAAATTTAACAATGTGACCGAGTGGTAAATATAACAAATGTTATATCTTTTAAATTCATAGTTAAATTAATATGATCTGATCTTTTCCAAGTTTAACAATTATTTTTAAAATAACCCTCAGTGTACAAAAACATGCAATAATAATAATAATAATAATAATAATAATAATAATAATAATAATAATACACACATTCCATGTTTATTATATAAACTAGATCACATTAAAAAAAGAAAAGACAAATTTAGGGCATGCTTGCTTGTCACTCAGATTTTAAAAGAAAAACTCAGTTGCTTAAAAAATGCAATTATTTCTTTTTTTTTTTTCTTTTTTAAGTTTTCACAGCTTTATATAAACATCAACAAAAACAAACAAAAACAAAAAATGCAATTATTTCAAGTGCAATTAAACATGTAAAAATGCAGTTAAAGCAGGAGTTTTGGCAGGTTGCCCCTCTGGAACATTCTGGTGTAATTCAACATGCCAAGATAAAAAATCATCAGCAAGGGCTTTGGCATATTCATTTTTGTTTCACTTCAGTTTAGAAAAGAGGTCATTCTAAACAACTTGAAATAAATTAGTTTACAATGCAAAAGTTATACAGTAAATAAAAGCTGTGAATGGTAGTTGGCAATATTCATGAAAGCAGACATAGCAGCCTCACCCCTAAATCAGATTATGAACTGCTTGAAATAACTGAAGAAAAAAACAACCCACTGAACTCATAGCTGAAGCAGGGTGGCTGAGGGTAAGGATGATTTAGATTTATTTGATACCAAAAAAACAAAAGTGAAACCAAAGGACCCTAACTATTTTAACATATCTGATGGATAATGTCTCCCACCCCATGCAACAAAGCTGCTGCTGAACTAGAAAGCTCCTTCAGTGACAGACTGCTGCTCCCTAAATGCACCAGGGAGCATTATCACGGATCCTTCCTCCCAGCAGCTTTAAGACTGTATAACTATCACTGTTCCCAACAACCACAATAAATTGTTACAGTCATGCTGATTTTCTTCAAAATTTCTGTCTTAGTTAAATAACACGCTGCTGTCATTTTTTTTGCACATTTCTGGTGTTGCAGCTATTTTTTACATATCCATTTCTGTAAAAATGTCCTTAGCTGTTATTGATTTGTTATTATCCAGATACATAGTATTTATATTGTAAAATAATGTACACACAATACTTTGTTTTATTTTCTTATGTGTCATTTTTATACACTTTTCTAAGGTCCACATTGTGTGACTATAACCTCTTACTGCTGTAACACCACAATTTCCCCATTTTGGGACAATAAAGACATTTTTTGTTCTATTCTATTTTTTATTCTTGCCACAAGGAAGGGATGCCTTTCATTAATTCATCTGACTATAAACTCTGTTAGAATGGAAATATGTGTTAAGTTTCTTGTGCTCTTTGGTGGTTATCCTACATTCCTTGTTTAGGCAGCATTTTGTCAGACTATAGCGCCTTCGGTCCAGATCCAATAAACTGAAGGACTGTTTCATTTAACAGTCTGTGAGGAACATCAACAATCCTCCTGCTTGTCTCCTTCTTTCCTCTATGTCTCAGAAATACGCCTTATATCTCTACTACGTCACAAGAATACAAGCTTTTGATAATTTACAATGAAGCTGATCAGATTGGACAATTCTTGTGGAATTACATTGAACTGCACCATCAGTTAATTTCTATACCATAATTCAATCCATCTAACCAGCTTGAAGTCTTTGAAATCTTATTTTTTAGCTTTAGCTTCATAATCTATGTGTCCTGCTGCTGGCCACACCTCTAAGAAATGAAATACTGCTACAAGCCATTAAACTACACAACTGACCTGATTTCCTGCTCATCTTTGGGAGCCATTAGCATTCTTATCATTAGAGACTGCTGATTTTGGAGAACAAACAGGCACAGAGAACAAGACATAAAAATTACTCAGAGGAATTTATTAGAACCTTTGCTGAGTTAAAACTTAATTTACAAAGATTCCTTCACTACATATTGTTGGCACTTACTTCAAAGGTAACATAGTGGCTTAACTGATGAAATGATTTACAACTTGGATGCCCAAGTAGCAGCATGTGTTCATGAATGAGTCAATGTCCTTTAAAAGCAATTTCTACCCTGCAATACAAATGTAAACACGGTTAACTTATTCTCTTAAAAACTGTTGCTGTTTCCCCAATCAGCAACCTAACAGGTTTCTGATAAGATTTAAGAGAATTTTCTTTCCAGCAGCAGAAATTAAATTGAAGATGATTGGTGAAGTCACATCGGTGATAAATGTGGAGGTTGTGCCACGTGGCTCTGAAAAAGAGTGATTCGATCCAGAAGTGTGAGTGGGATCCCCCTGATGACTGAGGGCAGGTCCTCGTGCTGTAATGGATAGATGACCACACTGAGCGCCGGACGCTCAGCTAAAAATCTGACAAAAAGGGGACAAAAAATTAAAATCAAAGAGAGAAATTTAGATTTGTTGCACGACAGAATGTCTGATATAATCTTCTTTATTCCTATATTACATAATACACATTAACCTCCTGCAGATTTCTTCTACTTTTTTTTTATTTTGTCACAACTAAATGATTCAGCTCACCAAACAGATTGCAATATCAAGGGAAGTAACTTAATAACAGAAAAAAATCAGTTTTCATATCAGGAATTAGTTTATTAAACATATGAACTATCCAAAACCAATGTTTCTCATGGGAAAAAAAAAAAAAATTATAATTTTAATAGAGGTATGTAGGATTTCCCAGCAGGAACAATCTTTTTTTTTTTCTTGCTCATCCCTCTTTTTTGGGGGTAAATGTCAGATGGATTTTTATGTTGCTTTTAGACAGCTGCTGTTTTAGTCTTTAGCTCTTCCATGGAAGCTGTTTATCCTCAGTCTCTTTATTATTAAATCATAAACACAGCATTAACAGAGGAAACTGAGTCATACAGAGCCTCAGCTGTTCTTTAGAGTCGTTTTATTTATTTTTTTACCTCCCAGATTAGTTGCCAATCATCAATACTTCTCCACTAGGATTTTTTTCCCACCCCTTTATTTGATTTGATTGTATGGGTCTCACTGTAATTCTCTGGAGTCCCAAAGTCTTAGAATAACAAGGATTATATTTTTATCTATTCTTAATCATCTTTTAGATTGACTCTAGTATTAATAAAGTCTGGTTTTGGCCAGACCAAACATCTCCAGAAAAGTCTGGTTAATCAAAGTTTCTTCTTGATTCTAAAACGGGTTTGATTAATTTTATACTAAAAAGGTAGAGTTTTTCTTGAAACACTTTTATTGTCAATAAATGGAATCATCATTTATAAATTGCCTTTTGTATTTATTCAGGTAATATTGATCTAATATTCAAATGTGTACGCAGGGATGGACGATAAGGCCAAAACAATAGATTTCTTCATTTCGATTGATACAATGTCATTTTCTATATAGATATAAACAAAATAAAAGCTATTCGCAGACTGCCCACGTGACCCCCAACAGATGCCTGCACAAAGGCAATACAAATATTTAACAGAAGATAACTAATATTTTATTATGTTTTTAAAACTACTCCAATATAACATTTAAGAAATATTTCGGATACAAAAAACGGATACAAGAACTACATAAAACCCAAACATCAGTCAGTAGTAAACGCTGTAATCATAGACT